CCGCGACGCCCTGCCGCGGCGCCCTGCCTCGGCTGGTTATATTTCAAGCGGAGGCGCCGCACCTGGAGCGCCTCGGTACACTGCCAGGAATGACGCGCAGTTAAAGTTTATATAACGACTAGCTCGTCATCACAAAGGCCCCGGCGAACAATATGCCCTCAAGTTAGCGCCGCCGAGCGCGCCGCGGCGGGGCGGGGCGGGACAAGCGACGCGCTATGTGCGGGATAAGGGAACACCAGCACTGCATCAAACAGCACGCCCTCCACGAGAAAGAGGAGGCGGGTGGGAGGTAGGCGAGTCGAGAGAGCGAGAGAGAGTGTGTGTGTGTGTGAGAGAGAGAGAGAGATGGGTCGAGAGACGTACAAAAGGGCGCCGAAATAAAGCAGCTCCTGTGCATCGGCCTCCCGGCGCCTCCCGGCCCAGCCCCAACACGTTGAGCTGTGAGGTGCAAACAGCAGCGCTTGATATTGCAGCGATAACTCAAAGGACCACTCAGCGGCGACTCAAGAGGGTGCTCATGAGGGAGGGGCACAGAGGGAGGGTAGGGGGGGCGGGCACCACATCGAGGCGGCGAGGACGTTGACTCGGCCGCTAGAGCCCCATCCATTGGGACCAGGCACGCCCCACCACGCCCCACACCACCCCGCCGACCACACGGGGATTGGCAGTCCGGCCAATGGAAATGTATCGCTCAGGGAAATGAGTGTCCCTCTCCTCGGGAGCGAGGGACACGACAGGGAAGTTTACTTTGAGGTTTTAGGAAAGTTCGCCAAAAATCCAAACTCTCGGACGGAGGGTAAAAAAAAAATCTGAAAGGGGAACATAGCGACAAACGGCACATCATATGTGAGCCGGGCCGTTTCGCAGTCACAAAAGTTGCAAGAGGAGAAAAAGTCCCCACCGAAAAAGAGGCGTCCACTTTTATTTTAATGTAAGAAATACTTTATCGCGGTGCGAGCTGGCACCCGTCCCGCGCGCTCTGTACGGTCGCACTAATGCGCGTCCTGCTCCATCTGCTGCTGTCCTCCAGACCAGACCCCTCACAGGAGGCGATGGCCCCGCCAGGGAAAAAGACAAAAAGGATAGAAAGCGAAAAGCGACGAAGTTTTGCTAGTTCGTTTCGTAAGCTGCTTTCGCCAACACGCCGATTGCCATTCGTATTCGCGGCGCCCCTCGGCCAGCCCGGGCTGGCAATGAGTGGCCCTGGCCAGTTCTTTTTCTCCACCGCTCGGCCCATGGCTCAGCCGCCCCCACATCTGCTCTAATTAGAGCTCCTCGGTCCGGCTGCTGTTTGCTCTGCTCTAGCAGGGACGGCCAGCTCACCTCGGTACATGTGACAGAAGTGAAGAGCCTCGACAGGGGCCGGGTGGGGCGTGGAGTGCTTCCCACTGTGTAGCGCCAAAGGGCCCCGTGGGTGCGCTGCAGCGCGCTGCCTTGTCCGGCCCAGCCTAGAGGAACACCACAACCGATTTGCATAACAGAACCCCGTGGACTGGTCACGCCAGACAGCAACCCCCAACCCCATCTAAGAGGGTTTCGGGAAGGCGCCGGCCGGGCTAGTTCCACTTCACCAAAAAAACTAGCGGGCCCGCCCTTCCGCCAAACGGAGTTGCCAGCTCCGCTTCGCTGCGCCGGCAACTCCCTTGTTCGGCACGGTCTGGGACAACTTGCCCTGCCAGTGGCGTCGGTTTGGGTTCTCGGGATGACCTCTGCCTATGTAACTGTGTACTT